TTCCTAAATATAATTTCATAACTTAATAAATTTTGTAAATTTATCCAGGACTTATTAGTCCAAATTATATAATTTCCTAAGTTTCTCTAACCTCAGAGAACTCACCAGAGTTGATTTTGTATTTTTTTTTTTAATATCTTAATTATTATAATTATTTTAAGCCAAAATGAGCAATATTACAGGAAAATACATTTACACATTCAAAACACATTTTTTTATTTTGAAAATTTTATTGGAGTATTTAAAATTTTTTTCTTTAATCGGGACAATTTTTGTGATTTTTTGAAATATATTTATATTTTTGAATTTTTAATTATATTTTGATTATTTTGAATACTTAAAAATACAATTTCTATTTTTGTTTTAAATTTATTTTTCTTTGGTTCCATGATATGCGTTTTTAAAGTTTATGTATTTATTAAAATTAAAGGCGTGTATGTAGATTATAATTTTTTTATATTAGATGTAAATATGAAAGTTTTTTTTTATTTTTATGTGAATATTTAAGTTATACTTGGTCCCTTTTTTATTGTTGTTGGACATGTGAATACCATAGTTTAGGTTTTGTATATGAAATATCAAGATCCTAAGCGTGATGTGTGTAAATGGTGAAGTTTAAGGTATCAAGACGTCGCACATGTTAATACACAAGATTTGAGTGATTTGCATGTAATAATACTAGATCCAAATAACTTGCATGTGAATATATAAGATTTGAAGAATTTGCGTGTAAATACATAAAAATTGGGTGGCAAAAATGTAAATATTCATGATTTGAGTGACTCATGTAAATATTTAAGATTCAAGTGGCGGCATGCTATATGTTCAAGGGCTACGTGGTGTGTACGTAAATAGGTAAAATAAAAGAACATGCATGTAGAATCTATAAGATTTAAGTGCTAAACATGTAAATAATCAAGTTATAAGATAAATAATCAAGTTATAAGATTCAGTTATAAGATTCTAGCGATGTGCCCACAAGATATTCAAATTTGGATGTCGAATATGTAAATACATAAATTTTTAAGAGCTGCTGCTATATATAATTAAAATTTAGTTTTCTTTATTTTATATCTATAAATTTTTATTTTGTAATTTTATGTTAAGTGAGCTTTGACTTGATATGGAGGGAAGTGGACTTAGCTCACTTTTGTGTGTTTTGGGCCCTTTGTATGAAAATAGGACTTAGCTCACTTGTCATGAAGATTGGGCTTCATGGAGGCATGGGTAGACAAGTCTTAATCATGGGGATTTGGGTTAAGCTTAGGTTAGAGTGAGTCATGCGAGGGATTAAGTGCTTTTCAAAGAATCTTAAAAGAGAGTTCTCCTCTTACCACTTAACGGAGTGGTGACATGGAATGACTCACATAGCTCAAATGTGGTTTGGAGGTGACTTCATGGCTTGCATGTGACTTGGCCAAGTTGCATGAAAAGTGATTTTTAGGAAATTTGGGTATTTTTGAGAGGAAGCTTGTCATGTGGCTTGTTTTCGGAATAATTTGATCATGGATGATATGTCATAAAGTTCAATATGATTACATGGATGATGAAGAGGAAGCTTGTCATGTGGGCTTTTGAAATAAAAGGGGAGATGAGCTTGCATTGTCGGCTTTTGAAATTATTTTTGAAGGGCTTGAATTTGGGCTTTTGAAAATTGATCATGGGCATTTGAAATTGGGCTTGGGAATATATCATGATGAATTTCATAAATGGAGATAAAAGGTTTGGATAATTTGGAGATTATGATGAAATGGGGGCAATTTGGAAATTTTGGTTGAATTTGGGCATTTAGGGACATGTTGGGAATTTTTAGGGATTCTGGTATGTTTGAGATATTTTGATAAATTTAGGACAATTAGGTAATTTGGGAAGGTTTAAAATGATTTTTTGAGGAGAATTGAGTATTTAGACTATTTTAGAGGAATTTGAGAATTTGAGAGTATTTTGGTAATCTGGTCAATTTTTGTGGATTTGGGGAATTTTGGGTGAACTGAGGTAAATTTAGTAGTTTGGATTGGTTAAGGTAAAATTTTTGGTAAGAATGAGGATTTTGACAATTTTGGATATTTTTGGTAATTTAGAAGTAATTTGGAAATTATGGAGAAATTTTGGACAGGGTGAGCAAGCAAGCCATAAAGCCTTCGTAAAGCTAAAAGAGTCATATAAGGATTCATTTTGAATCCTCTATAAAGACAATTAGTGTCACGCTAATGCGCTGTTATGCTAGTGTCGTCAAAATGTGCGACGTAATTTTTTAATCGCAGCTTTTTGGAGATGCTAATTCTAACAAAATCCGATGCAAAATCAATTGGTGACACCCATTTTAACATTTATTTTTTCGATGCTAATTCAACGATAATCGAGACTAGCGTCGGAAAATGCCCGATTAGTGTCAGAAATGTCTGACACTAATTCGACAATTTCCTATGGTGACTGTAATGATATTCAGTTGAATTTGATCGCAAATCAGAAGCATAAATTTGAAAATTGCTTTTGAAAATTTAGACAATATTAACCTATATTCTTGTAGTGACAATTCAACTACAAAAGTAAAGATGTTATATCCTACATAAGAAAATATTATTCTATGAATGTTGTATATCATTTACAGCAATGATTCATGAAGACCAATTTTAATGATGTTAAGATTCAATGATTCATAAAGACTATGAATCATGTTAAGTTTTTAATCATGAAAATTTAGACAATATTATACTATTTTCCATACAGAATTCTTTAATAATCAATTAGGTGAGTTGTTGTTAAATGTCAATGTTGATTGCTATGCATGTAACATTTGGTTGCAATGTAATTATCAATGTTGAGAAGGGTGATGGGATTTAAAAATAATTTTTATTTTAATTTTTGAAATGCATACCAATTCGTTCTATTTTATGGAAACATCACTCATTGATGGGGTTCATTAATTTCTGATAGTTTCTATGATTCGTAGTATTTTACTGTGCAAACCTATTACTTATGCTTTTTGTTGGTTTCTTTCTATATAATTCCATATATAGAAAATAATTAAATACTAGTTGGATTGTTTCTTTCTTTCTTTCTTTCTATATATCACATGTT